TACACAGTATGAAAAATCCGTTTATTTTGCATAAATATACATCCGTGTCGATTGTCGACCTATCTAAGAAAAAAATCCCTCGTCGATTTTCCAAATATTTCTAACTAAATATCTGACAAATACTCAATGCAAATAAATGATCAAAACTGCCGTTCCATTCGTAAAGAAAATAAATAAGCAAATCAATGAAAGTATCACAGTAGCATAATAAGAGAAACATTATCGTGGACGAGTTTGCGTAACACTGGAATTAAAGTGGTCAGCGTGGAAGAGCGAGCCATGGACACAACCTTGGAGTATTAACCGATTCGTGCTGCTTGCGTAAATCTCTGAAAATGAAGTGAAATGGATGTTTTTTTCAAGTTTAGTAGATAAGTCACGTGTGATATATAGCTTTTCGTTTAATTTTGTTTCGATTTTCATGGTTTTAATTCAAGCAAAGTAGTAGTAATGGTAATAATGATGGAGATGAAAGTGAAGGTAAAGGTGAAGATGAAGATGATGATAATAATGATTCTATTTTTTTGTCTAAGTTTGTGTAATTCTTACAATGCACTTTATTACCTCCTGAGTTAACATCCACGAAACCACTGCTGACAATACCTATTTATCTCTAGCCACAGTGCTGACATCAGGAAATGCAGAAGTCTTCTCGAAAGTTCCTTTGATTGAACTGCAATGCCTGAGCAACGTCATGCAAACAACAGACAGCTCGAGCAACATCACTGCAACTGCGACTTTTAATACCCATGATATAACGCTCGTTGCTAAGAATCATGAGAATGCTACGGTGACTTTGTTTTTGAGGTTGGTAAGATTCCTTTGTTGTTGATGTGCGTTTATTATGAGAACATCCCTCATGATAGGTGTTCAATACGTTCTCAGTTTGTGGCAACTTTCATTTGGACATTTTTATATAACTTTTTGTGGACTGTAGGCATTTGCATAGTAAATAAAATACAAACAGAATAATATGTACACGAAGATGAAAGGAAACAAAGCCACAGTAATAGAAAAAATAGAAAATAAAAAGTAAAAAAGGAAAAGTATAAGCTAAAGTTTCGAGTGAGACGACACTCATCATCAGACGATAACACCGAAATGGATTCATTTCGGTTTTATCGCATAATGAGGACTACTAACTAGAATAAAACCTCACAGTTTTTACCCTTTCTTATTGTTTCATTGCATGTTACTATAATTACCCTACACTACGGTCACTGGACATTAGAAACATGAATAATTATTCTTTGCATGTTCAGCGGCGAACTGGAGGTATGCGTGAACTTCACCTTCACTTACGACCCCAACGACCCGACCATCAGACCACTGGACGACTTCACGCTCTGCCCACACGACGGAGGCTCAGACAGGGAGGCTCCTTCTCAGAACCCGCTGCCGATGAACCTCACGCTCGAGGTCGCAAGTCGTCGGGTTGGGAAGACGGTCCTTGGGGTGAAGGCTGACCCGGCGGTGGTCGAGTGAGTCAGGATTTTTAAGTTTAAAGGGAAGAGACCGCTGTGGATGTATTTGCTTTAGTTTTCTTTTCTTTTTCTCCTTCTCCTTCTTTGTTTTTCTCCTCCTCCCCCTCCTCCTTTTATTTTTTTATTTATTTTTTTTTACGTGATGCGCTTACTATCTTTCAACAGTGTAACAGACGCGTTCGTAAGAGTGTCTGTGATCCATGACCCTGTCTTAAACGTGATTAGCGACGTGTTCGGCTGGACTTACTCAATCATCTGGGATATTTCTTTCTTGCCTCAAGTGTGGCTGAACTGGAACAGAAAAAGGTAATATTGCAAAGGTCTTTGGTAGATCTTAATGTCTATCTGTTTGTCTATATCTACCTAGTTGTCTGCTTACATATATACATCTATATATCCAAATATAGATAAATACATGTATGTGTGTGTTTTAAATACAAACACACAGTAATGTGTACACAAAGATATATCGGAAACTCCCCATAATAAAAGATTAAACTGAACTATACCGTTTCGATCTCGTCGAGATTTCCTCATCAGACAAACAAATAACCGAATGGATATTTGACCTTCTGATGATGCTTGACGAGCTCGAAGCATCACGATTCACTTTAATTTCTTATTGTGGCGGTTTCCTTTTCATGTATGTGTATATGTACGTATACATTTATGCATAAGTGAATGTAAGACTTTATGTATATATGCTTTGTCTGTAAGTTACATTACCAAAGCAAAAATATATAAAATTATATAACATTTTTCTTCCGTTGACAGCGTGGTGGGTTTCAGCTTGGACAATGTGACTCTCAACATTCTTGCCTACCTGTGTTACTCGCTCTTCAATGTTGCATTCTTCGCCGTGCCTTATATTCAGGTAATGAGGAAGGGAAGGGAAATGGGAGGAAGAGGAAGAGAGTGAATGATGAGAGGGCGAAGAGGAGAGGAGTGAGCGGGAAGGATATGGGGGGAGGGAGAAGAGAAAATTGGAGAATAGGGGAACTGGAGAGAAATGATGGTAGAATGAAAGACAGGGAAAGATTATGTTGAGAGAAAGAGAGAAAGAGAATACATTCGCTCCAGTTGCGAGTATACAACAAACCAACTACATTCTTCCCGATCCACATCCACGAAAACCAACTACACAAACCAAATAACTGCACGAATGATTACGAAATCAACCATTCTTTATAAAAAATCTTTCGTCTCTCTTTCGACCAGAACCAATTCCACGCCAGGTACCCGAGGCAAGTGAACCACGTACGACCCAACGATGTTTTCTTTGCCACCTACGCCCTCTTCATCGAAATTGTCTTGGGTATTCAGTGCTTGATTTACTACGTGAGTTTTGCTGGCGTTTCTAGTTCCTAGTCTAATTTACCTTCGTGGAATGATTTCGTTACGTGACTTTATAATGATTGTTGTATATGGTTCAGGATAGTTGTCTGTTCTTGTGGTATTGTTTGGGTTTATTTTTTTGAAATGGTGGATATGATATTATTGTTATGAAATATTTTAATGTAGCCGAATTTTATGTCATATCCGGCAGAAAGGGATGGAATGGGTAAAATGCAAATTCCCAAGGTATATATACATATCTTTTATACTCGAAATCAATCCAAATAGCTAATAACTTTTGAGGTCTACGTCATAAGCCAGCATAAAACAACACCAAATACATATATATATGTGTGTGTGTGTATATATGTATATATATATATATATATCTATATATATATATATATATGTGTGTGTGTGTGTGTGTGTGTGTGTGTGTGTGTGTGTATACATACACACATACATATATATATATATGTGTGGGTGTGCGCGCGCGCGCGCGCGTGTGTGTGTGTGTGTGTGTTGTGTGTGTGTGGTGTGTGTGTGTGTGTGTGTAATATATATATGTATATAATATATATATATATATGTATATATATATATATATATATATATATATATGTGTGTGTGTGTGTTGTGTGTGTGTGTGTGTGTGTGGTGTGTGTGTGTGTGTGGTGTGTGTTGTGTGTGTGTGTGTGTGTATACATACACACATACATATATATAAATATGTGTGTGTGTGCGCGCGCGCGCGCGTGTGTGTGTGTGTGTGCGTGTGTGTGTGTGTGTGTGTTGTGTGTGTAATATATATATGTATATATATATATATATATATGTATATATATATATATATATATATATATATATATATATATATATATATATATATATATATGTGTGTGTGTGTGTGTGTGTGTGTGTGTGTGTGTATACATACACACATATATATATATATATATGTGTGGGTGTGCGCGCGCGCGCGCGCGTGTGTGTGTGTGTGTGTGTGTGTGTGTGTGTGTGTGTGTGTGTGTGTGTGTGTGTGTGTGTGTGTGTGTCTATTTAATCGATCCAAAAAGGAAAACCCGACAGATTTCGCCAAAGTAATAACAATCTACATAATAAGAAAAACAAAAAAAGTAATCCTTTCTAACATCTTAATCAAAACAAAACGGAAATAATGATAATAATAATGATAATAAAATGAATGTATCAAAGCAAACACCCTTCCCTTTTAGCA